GCTGCTTTCCTGTAATAATGTAAGCAACCACTCGTTATCCTATAGCCTAATAACCTTATAACAGTGATGAACATCTTTTCTGAAACTTAAGTTGCGTTTTTTTAAACTGATCTATAATATATATACATAGATCAGTGTTTTTTATCATCTGAAATGTGCTGCGACTTAAATTCCAAAGCGATTCATATAATGCAATTAACGTCAACAAGCAAAACATGCAACGCGCGTATACATCTGTATTGGTGCAGAATGAGAGACGCGTATAGCCTAGCGCATTTCACACAGGCTGCTAGTTTCACTTTCACTTTAAATAAGTTGTTTATGCCTGACCTTTAAGTTGTTTATAGTGAATGCCCCTATAATTTTTGTTTGTTTTATATTTACGATTTCGTTTTTAACCAAATACGATCATGCAACTTATATGCGTCAAGTAGCATATTGTTTTACTTACTTGTTTTTGACATATTCGACCAAACTACAAACTTTCCAGTGATGTCAACGAGAAAGAGATATTCACTCGACGAGCTTGTGCATCTGTGCAACCGCGCGCTCAATCCACTCGTGCTTTGCTTATCAGCTCGTGCACATCAGCTATACAGGCGTGAATATTGAATGTTTAACATTATATTAATTACATTCATGTACTTCATCCTTAATATCTAATAACTCCATTCTGCTCTCTGTTGTTGGTGTTTCTTAGTCTGGATACGGTGTACCGACGAAACATGCTACCTATCAGATTGTGCTACCAAAAATATATTTGCATTGTTTTAAGGGTAAGTTTAGGGTAAGGGTAGATATGGACGGGTAGGTTTAGGTATGGACATTTAAAAAAGCCTCAAACCACATGAATAAGATGCTGGTAGCACAGTCTGATAGGTAGCATTTTTCACTTCTTTTTAATGGGAGGTAGCACAATCTGAGCGGTTAGCACAAATCGTCAGAACAACGGCACTGTTCACATGCTGTGTGGTATTGGCGTTTGGTATCGGGGCATTTTAACGAGTACGAGTACAAGAGCGCAGTAACCCCTACTCTCGGATGAAGCAGGGTGACATAATAAAAGGTTCCTATGGTGTATACTTGTCTGAGAGTTCAGCTCACCTGTAGCTGGGTGGGCGGCCAGGCTGTGTTTGACAAATGCCGCACTTGTGAGTTGTGGCGACCCAGACTGCGGTGAACACCGCAGCACTCATCACATATCAGAACTCCTCTGTTCACAGACGCCCAGCGAGGATCTAAGGGATCCCAAGAAAATCAACAGATTAACAGGACGTAAACAACAGCGTGTCTCAGCAGCGTGTTGATCACTGATCGATACACAATAACACTAATGGAGCTTTTTGGCTGGTGCATGTGAATGAAAACAGAAACACAATACTTTTAAAAGGCTGATGCAAGGAAGATGCTTGTTACAAGAATGCACCGAAGAAAACGAACTAAAATGCACTTGTCTAATGCAAAACCTAATTCAAACAGTGCACAATCAAATCAACATGAAATGGGATAGATTTATACTTCTGGAATTCGAACAGCTGAGTCTTTAGCCATTTTCAAAAAACATCTAAAGACATCTTTTTCGCCAGCACCTGACCAACTAATACTAGCACTTACCTATTCTATTCTATTCTATTATTTAACTAAAAAAAAACAAACAAAAAAAAAAAAAAACCTAGCTACGTGTACTGTGCTAGACTAACCGAGACTTGTCATGGCACTTGTATACTGTTGTTCTCTCGTTGGTCTGATTGCTTCTATTGTTCTCATTTGTAAGTCGCTTTGGATAAAAGCGCCTGCTAAATGATTAAATGTAAATGTAAATGGAATTGCTTATATTTTGAACTTACATTTTTAATAAAGTTAACATGCACAAATGAATCATCACAAATGTGAAACTAGAAAGCATGTTTTGATCAAGGTTATTATAGTTAACTAAAAACATTTAAAAAACATTGTTACCTGAAATAAAATAAACCATCAATGAAATGAAATAAGATATTAAAAATTTAAAAACTGAAATAAAATATTAAAAACTTATTTTACTTCAGCTAGTTGCCAAGGAAACACATCTGTTATGTTTTAAATAGTAAAACATAGAAAAAGTAACTCCGATATGTGACCCTGGACCACAAAACCAGTCATAAGGGTCAATTTTTATAAATTACGTTTTATACATCATATGAAAGCTGAATAAATAAGCTTTCCATTGATGTATGGTTTGTTAGGACAATATTTGGCCAAGATACAACTATTTGAAAATCTGGAATCTGAGGGTGCAAAAAAATCTAAATATTGAGAAAATCGCCTTTAAAGTTGTCCAAATGAAGTTCTTAGCAATGCATATTACTAATCAAAAATTAAGTTTTAATATATTTACAGTAGGAAATGTACAAAATATATTCATGGAACATGATCTTTACTTAATATCCTAATGATTTTTGGCATAAAAGAAAAATCAATAATTTTGACCCATACAATGTATTTTTTGGCTATTGCTACAAATATACCCCAGCGACGTAAGACTGGTTTTGTGTTCCAGGGTCACATATGACGAAAACAAAATGCGGTGCTGAGTTCTTCCTTATAAGGTCACAGAAGCAAGGGTTGAATGTCATCCTTTTATGTACGGCTGTACACACACTAACTTCCTCTTACATATACATGCCTCAAACCACAACAAATGCTAAGCAGCTGAGCTTTACTTCCAGGGTACAAGCTTTACTTGCTCGAGATTATTCGAGAGGGTCATCTACTGCAGTGTAATTCTGTGTAAAACTGGTTTAACGTCAGATTTTACATCAAGTTGCAACCCAATACAGTAACAAAAAAAAATCTAATCTAATCAGTATTCAATTTTTTTTATGAAATTACCATGAACTGCATATCTTCAACAAATTTAGCATAAAATAAAATGGATTGGCTGAATGGCTGTAAAGGATTTTTATAGTATTTGTAAATGCATAAACAACAGCAGAAGAGTGATTTGCCAGCCTAACACATGTAACAAACACGGGGCTAAATATTGCAGCGGTATTATCACTTACATTTTTTCATCACTTTGCTATACTAAGCACATTATATGGTTAGTTGCAAGCTGCAACCCATTTTTAGGTCACGACCCGCCAGTTGGCCCAAACCCTTGATTGCTCAGAGATCCCCCACTACTACACTAGACAAACTCAACGACCCAGAGACAGAATCACTGCTCATACATTTGTCACTGGCACTCGTCCTTCATGGGCGTCCCATACCAAGCCAGTTTTTAATAGAATATGTCATAGTCTCACTCCCTCATTGAGTCATGATGCGAAATTAGTGAAAGCAGGGCCAACCACACTGGTCCTATGACTAATGTGTCTGAGCAACCCAAGACGTGTTGTGTTTATATTTTCTGCATCGTACCAACACCCCCCCAAGATTCTGGCAAACGTGTGATTTCACTTCCTTCAGAAACAACACGAGTCAGCCCTCTAGTGTGTCAGAATTGCCCAAGAACAGAGAGTTTTGAGGATTTTATTTTCACACTGATTACAGGCAAATGCTTTTTCTAATGAAATGTTAATTTAAGTTTTTATATTCTTATTGGGATGCCTAAAAATGAAGGCAAAAAAAAAAAAAGTTATGAATTTTTACATTTTTTTTATTTGAAATGGTGCAAAACTCAGTGATTTTTGTTGCATTTGCTATATAAACACAAAATCTGTATATTTTTTAGAAAAGGCTAAATGGTATTAAAAAATAGTCACACCTGTGAGCTTTGTGATAAAAAAATAACTGGCATAGGAAATTAATGCGAAATACAAAAAAAAAAAAGGTTTTTGGGGGGTACAATCTACAAATCAGCCATAATAAAGTAGTTATTGATCATGTCTGAACATCCAAATGCAAAACCCAATAAAAGTAAGTAATTATGTCTGAAAATACTCTTAGCAACTAGGAAATACATAACAAAGGTATAAATAAATACATAAATTTAAATACAACTATTTATTTCTCACACCAGATGGCACCAATCTGCCTTCTATGCATTAGATTTTAAATCTAATACTCTACTGCTCTGTTTCTAACTTAAAGGGGTCATAGGATGCCCATTTCACACAAGTTGATATGATTCTTTAGGGTCTTAATGAAAAGTCTGTAACGTAGTTTGGTTAAAATTTCTCAATGGTAGTGTAAAAAACACCTTTTTTACCCTGTCGAAAACAGCTCTTTTCAGATCAAGCCGTTTTTGTAACATTTTCCTTTAAATGTTAATGAGCTCTGCTGACCCCGCCCCTTTCTTCCGACAATGTATTAGGCTATTAGAAAAATAATTCAATTATTTTTATTATTTTAGATTTAAATAATCATGGTGAATAATTGAGAGGTGAATATACCACGAAATCCCCTCAAAATCCTAAATATTAACATAAATGTTACTGAGAAAAAATACATTCATTTGCTTTAAAAAAGGTTACGTTTATTTTCTTCAGTCTATTTTGACCTCAGAGGACTGCAAATACGATCCCTAATCCCTAACTTAACTGAGGAAAGCTAGAGGGATAAATCTAGACTAAAACGCATCATTTTACTGCATCAGGTGGGCAGGCTATTGAAGATGCCACACTTAAGAAGTTAATGACCAATTTGGGTTTCACAGCCTGCGTGAGGGACATATGATACCACTGTTGCATCAGTCTGACAGAAACATGAGCTATCTAAATTAAAAACTGATCCACTGATAAGCAGAGAGCAGCCTAGAAGCAAAAGTCACTTCCCTTCAAGCACAGGAAGTATCAAACAACAGCTGCAAAGAGGCCAAGGGCCAGAATCAAGCAGCTGGCACAATCATCATTCTCCCTCCCTCTCCTTTTCTTTCTCTTCAAGCCAAGTGCTGCTCTCTTCCCCATCAAGTGCTGCAGTGGCTAAAATAAAACCAAGTGCTGAATGACTAAAAATATATTCACTCTAACAACAACTGGCCAATGATACTGACACACCGGGGCAGCCCAGGCCAGCTGGTGACTGAGGCGTAACTAATCAAGGGGAATCAATAAGGGGACTGAGGAGAAACATAAACAAAACACAGGACAAAACATTAAAGGGGTCATATGATGCGATTTCAAGTTTTCCTTTCTCTTTGGAGTGTTACAAGCTGATTGTAATTAGAAACCCAGGAATTAACCAGAGAGTCGGAAATGAAATTGAAGGCATGTAGGACGCGATCTTCATAACATGCTGCATTCGTTTCCGCGCATGCGCAGAAGTGATTCATCACCAGCCGCTCCTGATGAGCTGAAGATCATTTAAAACACAGAGGCGTCGCGCCTACCCACAGGCGAGCGAATTATTTATTACGAGCATTTACTGATGTTTCGTTTGAAAACATTTTCGTTTCATGCCTAGATAAAAAATAATAACTTCTCTTTACGAACACGCAAAATTCACTCTTTGATTTTACGCAATTTAGCCATATTTAATAGCACGACCGCCCCTCCTTTTTATGAAATGGTTTAGTCTGGCGTTGGGCTCGCCCATTTCAATAAGAAAAAATAATTATTTTTCCATTCGTTTTTTTTTTAATTTGTCATATATAGCTAATTAGGCTCTTGTCGATCATTTTATATTGAGAACATTATTTATAAATACAACTAAATGCAATAGGGTTTGGAGGAAAGATTTGTCAAATGACTGGATACACCCCCACCCAAATAGTTTCGACCTGCCACTTCCTTGTTTTTCAAAAGTTTATTTTGAAAAAAGTTGGTTGCGTTTTCGGCGTCTCCTTTACTAAAATCCACCTGTTTAGTAGTCAGAGTCACTGTATAATTATTAACAATTAATTAAACGCATGAAGAGCTTTGATGGTTCATGACAGTAGCTAGCTCGCAGGCTGGCTCTTGATTTTGGAGGGGGAGACACGGAGAGTTTGATCGAGGCAGAATGTTATCGGCCACCGCTGCCAGCGTCGAGGATTTCAGCCTCAGGTTTCCACTGCATGCCCTGGTGTGGGAGAATGACTACAGGAAGCTGGAAAAAGAGATGCAGACGGTGTGTGTGTGTGTGTGTGTGTGTGTGTGTGTGTGTGTGGTGGGGGGGAATCCGTAAATGCTGATGTATGTAGACTGGTGGTGGTGCATCTGGTGTTAGAATCATTTGACTGCTGTGAGATGTCTGCCTCCAGTGGATTTCATGACATGCTTGACGTATTTAATAATCTAAAGAAATTGGAATTGGTATATTATTTGATCTTATTGCAAAATGCTTCATCAGCTTGCCATCCACTTGTTAACCACAGCACTGCTGTATGTCATTGCACTGGAGAGCTGGTGAGCTCATCCTAACATCAATAAAGCTTCATTTTGCTGCACCAGGCTGTAGATCACAGCTTTGTTGGGGGAAAACGTGTAAAAATAAGATAGTATAGTTTAACTATAAGATAGTAAAAACTAAGAGTAAGCTAAAGAAATAAATGTTAATTCAAATAAATAGATAAATAATACATCTAGCAGCAAGTAGAAAAAAAAACGTAATAGAAACTAGATATTTCACACACATTTGTAACATTTATTTAACAATTGCATCAGTTTTCACAGTAAATTGTGTCTTTATTCATGTAAATATATAGCTACCTTTTAAGTTTTAGGATTGAGTCTTTCACCCTAGGATGATCTTATTTGAATGTCCATGCCATCTGAATGATTGAATACTGCTGCTATATATGACAGGCATCATGACCAATTCACAGGAAGAGCATCCAGTGTTTTGATTAATGACAGTTGCATTCCATATTTCCATTTTCATTTTTTTAAGAGCAATGCTCATGATTTTTGGCACTTCTCAATTTCCTCACTAAGATATGAGTTGTATGTGTTTACACTCCTTTCAGAGTAACATTGAAGAGGTGGATCCCAGGGGCCGGACGCCTCTGCACCTGGCCGTCTCACTAGGACACTTGGAGTCAGTGAGAGTGCTGCTCAGACACGGCGCAGATGTTTCCAAAGAGAACGACAAAAATTGGACAGGTGAGAATAGAGCTTATGAATTGCACATTAGTCAACTTAGTAGGTCTTATAAGACATCAGATAGTTTTGCAGTATCGTCATGGCAATCTTTGAAGTAAATTGCATTGACCCCCACAAGAATACCATTAGAATTATAACGACTCTTGCACATCAGTAGTTTTCCCAGCCACCTCTGGTCCGGCTTTTCCGGGATCCAGTATTATGTATGCTCTAATGATCACCTCCTCCAAGACACTTACTGGTCATTTAGCAGATGTCTTTTTATGTGATTTACAGTGCACTATAGAATAGAAGCTAGTATGTTTACCTTTCCATTACAAGCCCATATTCTTAGATAAAGATAAATACCTAAAGGTCCAGTTAAAGCAGATGTATATGTGTGTTGTTGTCTGCACAGTGCTGCAGGAAGCAGTCAGCACAGGAGATCCAGAGATGGTGCAGCTGGTGCTCCAGCGACGAGATTACCGTAAAGCCTCCACTGCGCTGGGTGGCGTTCCAGAGTTACTGTGCAAGATCCGAGAGGTGCGTCTGTCAATTGATTTTGTGTATTATTTTGGGGAATTTTGAGCTATTATTGTATAGTATATAAAAGTTTGGGGACGGTAAGATTTTTAAAAGTAGTCACTTATGTTCACCCAGGCTGCATTTATTTGATCAAAAGTACAGTAAAGGCTGTAATATTGTGAAATATTATTACAATTTGAAATAGCTGTTTTCTATTGTAATTTGTTTTAAAATATCATTTATTTATGTGATGTCTTCAGTGTCACATGATCCTTCAGAAATCATTCTAATATGCTGATTTGCCGCTTGAGAAACATTTCTTATGATCAAGCTTGGATACAGTTGTGCTGCTTAATATTTTTGTGGAAACCATGATACGTTTTTATTCAGGATTCTTTAATGAATAGAAAGTTTATTTGAAATAAAAGTCTTTTGTAATATTATAAACTAGGCTTGCCGCGATAGACGGTGTTGACGGTGATACCGGTGTTAAGCCGCAACACCGGTTATGTCACTTGCCCACCGCGGCACCGACCCCCACCGTCGTTTTGATTTTTTTATAGTAATAAAAATCATTTAGTTATAAAAAGTAATTAACCCACTTTAAGATTTACACTATAAATGTCATACCCCTTTTCTACCAAAATGGTGCTGGTGCTCGACCGGGAACTGCAAATCTCTCTCAGAACATCCCTGTGTTCCCACTTGAGTTATGAACTGTGATCTAATTAACGTTATTACAGTACATAACTAGTATAGCACTAACTCTAGTATAGTTTTGTTTTGCCTCAGCTCAGATTCGCTCAGATTCGAAACTTAATCTGGCAAATTGATCAGTTTCAGGTTGTAGGGATCAGTTTGAAGCCAATTTTCTTGCCCATAATTGCTTTTCTGGCAATAAAACGCATGAAATAGTTCCAGACTGGGCTCCAGCACTCCATCAGTGGTAAAGGGTCTATAGTCTGTTCCCTGTTATGTTAACTGGTTAATATCAATTACTGATGCTTTTGATCTCAACAGGTGAAAGGAATGTCCTGGAGTCTTTACTCGGGACAGTAGAGCAACAGATCGGTGCTCAAGGGGTAAGCACACAAAACAGACACATTGAATTTGTTTTCTTCTGAAGTATTTGGGCACTGCAGTCACACTTACAAATTTATGAATGTCAATGAATTTGATACAAAATTTCAAACCAAGTGAAATATCCAAACAAATGTATGATCTTTTGATCCATATTAGAAATGACTTGTAACAAAAACAAGTGTCAAGTTGATTTTTAGTGGATGTATAGTCCATCATATAGTTCATCACATTAATGATGATCATGTTCCACCAATGTTTGAAAACCACAAATTGTCCAAATACTATTTTTGAACAGTATTTCTATTGATTTATATTGTATTTACTTTTGTGGAATATTTCGCTTGAATAGTACTACTGTTCTTTTAAAATGTGTATATATATAATATTTTGATTTTTTTTTTTTTTATGTGTATAATAGTTTGATATTTTGTTATCTAGATCAAACACATTTATACATTTTAGGTGTACATTTAAAAAAAAAACATCGGGACACTTGTGTTTTACAAAGCTGGAAGGATTAATTTGTATGTACGATTACAGGACATGACTATGGAGTATGCCACTGCCACAAACCCCACAGCTATTACTCCAGAGGAGTACTTTAACCCCAACTTTGACCTGCAGGGCAGAGACATCGGTCGGCCCACTGAGCTCACCATCAGAACACAGAAGTAAGGCTGACCATTCACTCAACCTCACTACAATTATTTTTAAATAAGTAAATAATATATTACACACATGTAATTGAAGAAATGGTTCAGTTTTTGTGTTTGGACCCCCTCTCAGGTTTAAAGGCACCCTGTGGATGAGTGAAGAGCATCCTCTGTCTCTGGTGGAGCAGGTCACTCCCATCATTGACCTGATGGCTCGCACCAGCACTCACTTTGCCAGACTCAGGGACTTCATCAACCTCAGGTTTCCCCCTGGCTTCCCTGTGAAGATCGGTGAGTGAGAGGAACAAACAGCCCTACTACTCAGTTCTCAAATGAAACCCTGTCCAGCATTTGTAAGTTAATGCATCAGATTGAATATTAACTTCTCTAACCTGCAACAAAACTGCAAGTACACTCTTAAAATTCAACTAAATGTTTGCAAATTGTGTATGGAAGAGAGTTTAGCATTAACTAATCTAGCTGTCCTGCTCACAAGTTTCTCAAGACTGCTTTTGTGTTTCAAGTCTGTGGACTTTAAGGAAAACTTCATAAAACTTATATTTGGTAGAAGGGACATATTCCCTTAGTTTATCACCTTGTCCAAAAACTCTAGAGAACCTAAGTCCAGTATAGCAAGGCAGGGAAGACTGAATCTGATTTTGTATATTTCTTGTGTGAATATACAAGATTATGCACGTTCTGCATGACCCCCCCTTTCCATTAAACATATTTTATTGCACTGTCCCAATTTTAATGCAAGTAGAAAACTTTTATGGATTACGTTCACTCGGGGACTTGTTTAGTAAGATTTTACCTGAAAAGATTTTAGATTTTTTTATCGTATGTTAATTAAAAAAAATATATATATATATAATTTAATCTGCAGTTTTTTTGTGTGTGTTGATTTGGTTTTATTTTGTGTTTGTTTTTTGTTTATTCCAACTCCATGAAGAAAGCCTAAGATGCTGACATGGCAATAAAAATAAACAACTAACCAACCTTGTGAATGGCTTTAATATAAGGCAGAGCATGCCGCTAACTAGATCATGGGTTTGATTCTGTTTCTGTTTCTTCAGAAATCCCTCTGTTCCATGTGTTGAATGCCCGCATCACATTTGGAAATGTCAACAAGTGCAGTACAGATGAACCTTTGGACTCCAACCAATCAGCTTCTACACCCACACCTACAGAAGAGAAGTGTGACAGCCAGGCTTCAGGTTTGGAAATGTATTGATTCCTCATCTGTTCCAGAACAAAAACGCACAGAAGACCTGTTAACTGTCACAAACTCTGCCCTTAATTCATAGTGGGAATGAGTTATTGGTTTGTTGATCCAGCAGGGAAATGTTCTAACATGAATGTTAAATGCAGTATGTTTCACTTCCTGCTCCTGCAGGACCTGCTCCATTCAAGGTGTGTCCATCTGTGTTCGTGGCACCTTCGCACTATCACCACCGAGGGGGCTACCGCCACTCCAACACACGCCGTTACAACCCAGCCAGTCATGATGAAGAGCTGCTCCAGTACGCCATTCACCAGAGTCTGCTCGAGTCCAGTGCACTCAAGTCAGAGGTCAGAGAACTTCCTGTTAGTGCATTCTGTGCATTTCTTGAAGATGTCTGTCTCTAATATGCAGTCTGGCTGGCTGTTTTGTTTTAGGACACTTGGAGTGATTCTGATGGACAGGCAACACAATCCATGATGAATCGGTTGAGCGATGGGTACCTTTCATGTTTCCATAATAATTTGTCCAGGGGCACTTTTTTTTTTTTTTTAAGAAAGTAATATTTTTGTGATACTTTTAAATAGAGTGACAGTGAGGAAATTTTCCCACCGGTTAATCAACGTGTGACAATACGGATAATACCGGTATCACCGTGGGGGCGGGGGCGTTCCCTCTTTTCCTTGCTTTCCTTCGCTTTTAAATAGCTTGTAAAAGCAGCATGCCATTTTACTTTCACTTTCAAATAGCAGCAATTCGGCGTAAAGCAATTGTTCGTTTTTAGTTCGTTTGAATTTTCCCTCTTTTCCTCGCTTTCCTTCCCTTTTAAATAGCTTAAAAGCGCCGTGCACATTTTACTTTCACTTTTGAATTAGCGGCAGTTAGGCATCAATTACTTGAATGCAACAACAAAATACGTCAAACTCACTTTAGCGTATATATAAAACATATCACTTTTATTAACAAAACGAATAAAAATACACCATGCTATAGGGCAGGCTATGCCTAATATAAAATATAGCTTAAAAGTGCCGTGCGCATTTTACTTTCACTTTTGAATTAGCGGCAGTTCGGCGTCAATTGCTTGAATACAACAACAAAATACAACGTCAAACTCACTTTAGCCTATAAATAAAACATAGAACTTTTATTAACAAAACGAATAAAAATACACCATGCTATAGGGCAGGCTATGCCTAATATAAAATAACAAATGACTTACATAAAGTTTAAATAGGTATACAAAACTGGAAATGAGTAAACATGTAGCCTATATTATATAAACAAAGGTAAGAAAGGTAGAACGTTTATTAGCAAAACAAATAAGAAAGCTTGGAGGCACGGCATACACCTTGATGTCAAATAAAATAAATAAAT